TTTTGGACGCCACAGCCATCAGGAGAAAGGCAGATCAGAGGAGCTGCATGGCCTGGCCGTTTCCTCCCGCATGACTGTCCAGCCCCCGGGCCCGTGCTCCATGGAGACAGTACCTCTGCCAATGTTGATGAGAATGGCCGTGGGCTTCATCAGACTCAGCTCCCTCTTCCCAATCAGCCTCTGGGTCTGGGGCGTCAGGCTCACAGCCAACAGCACGAAGTCTGATCGCTGAAGCAGATCATCCAGACTCTCACAATAAGTGGCACCAACAGCTTCCTCCTCCTCTAATTTCCTATGAAGGGAACAAGGAAGAAAAACTATGTTCTCCAATCAGAAATTCATCACATTGCCCCAGGAAGGAGGTTCTGAGGGGAGCCAAGGACGCAGCCTGTCACCACTGGGTCCAGGACCCATGGGAACCCCGTGGGCACCTCTGGGTTCTTGGAGGAGAGGCCTTGGGGTCTGTGGGAGTTCACACCAGACTGAGGCTCCTTGAGGCCCGGAGCTGCTTGTCACTTGAACCCCCAGAGCCTGGTACAAGCCCAACAGTGCATCAGACATATGCTCAATGACCACAGAACATTACCGAAAGGAAGTAGGTTCCACTCAAGTCAGAGCCTGAGCATGTACTTCTGTGACCACAGAGCATCACTAATGTGGGCAAACACATCCAGGTTTCCAGAAAACACACAAACAGAACAGGAGAGGGCCTAGGGCCTAGGAATGCTGCTTATCATGCAGAAAGCAAGGATCCCAGAGTCTGAAGCAGGCAGACTTTTGTGTTTTGTTTTGGTTCAATCCCAATTCCTGCTCGGGCCACCCCAAACAGCTGGTTATTCAACAGAGATTCCAAGATCCTAGAGGTCACAGCATCCTGGGCAGCCGCCACAGCTCTACAAATACGAAATTCCAAATTACACAAATTCTCTCCTAACACGTGTTTGGGTCAGGGGACAGCCCCGAGGAAGGATGAATACCATGCCCACATCACACACTTTGTCCTGCAAGAAGCCTGGCCTCTGTGTGCACGTGTTCATCACAAGGAAAGTTGTCACACCTAAGTCCACCGTCCATGGTGCAAACACTGACTGAAAAGACAATCTCCCAGCTCACCATGCCTCCAGGAGTTCCTCACCAGCTGGGAATGTGGTCCACAAGCAGTGGGAGGTCCCTGAAAGGCTGTAAACAATGGCCATCATCTGGCTGGTTTGCAAGGAGGGCTGGAGGTTCAAGAGCAGAAGTGAGCAGTCCCGTAGGAGAAATATGTATTTCAGGTGAGAAAGGACGGGGTCTGAGCCAGTGGCATTGATGAGGTGAGAGAGAACAGGCAGGTCTGAAGGCTGTTTGGAGATGGAGCCAACAAGCCTGGGCGTTGGGCTGAGGGAGAGCCTGCACACTCAAGGACGCAGGTCCCTCACTGAGAGCCAACACGTCCATCAGTATTAAAGGGACCAGTCAAGTTGCTCAGTGGGTATGGACAGCTTCTCCCTTTCACTTTGGAAATTTAAAAAATACAATTGTGAGTTAAAATTTATTCTGGTGAGTGTTTTCAAAAAAAAAATCTCAGCCACATTCCTAGGTAATCACCATTGCTTTCTTGACCATCATCCTTATTTTTTGGAGAGAAAGAGCAGGGGAGTCTTATGGAAAACGGGGGGATCCTATATCCAAGCCATATTGAAGGCAGTGATGGTACAAGTTCTGCTCAGTTGATTTCAGGTCCATTTTCTGAATGTTTACCTGCGTCTCCGGTTGTGATACAGAACCTTCATTTCGAATGCTTTGGCTCTCTGAGCAATCTTATAACCAATGCTGCCCATGCCAATGAGTCCCAGAGTAGCCCCCGTCACCTCTTGACCCATCCAATTTGTAGAAAATGTCTCTGTATCTGGTGCACTGGCCAACATATGACCTAAAATATAAAAGATACAGAGTGAGTGGTGGGGATGGCACCACACACAGAAAGCCCACACCCTCCCTGGGGCCTTCTGACCCTGCGGCGCTCACGCCTCTCTGACCACAAAGGTTTCTGCAAGGGCTGAAGGGGGGGGACAAACGGCAATTTCCTTGTAACGAAACCAGAGCATCCTGGTAGAAAGCTTTAAAACACCAACTTCTTTTACATTAAGGAAGGCCTTCTGGTTAAAATTTGTTGGTGGTATGTGTGTGTGCGCATGAAACACAGCCAGACCAGAATGAGCCTGGTTCTTGCTTCCCCTTTCCTCAGGCGTCTTCCTTAGGAGGAGTCCCCCGGGGAGGGAGGGGGAAGGGCTGAACTGCTCTGCTGCCCTTCCTGGGGACCCTCCCAGAGATGTCCAGGGTGTGCAGGGGTCCTGCCTTCTTACTCGGAGGCCTTCACCCCAGCAGAGACTGCTGACTAACCAAGGAATGACCCCCAGGGCATTTCCATGGAGATGCTGAAAGTACTTCCATTGTCAAGGGAACGTGGAAGCTGGTGGGGGGCGGACAGGGCTGCTGTCAGACAGCCTGAGTGGGCCCGATTCCCGAGTGCAACAAAATCCTGGATACAGTGTGAAGAAGTCAGGGCCCAGGAAAGACTTGTTGGAAGATAAAATTACGTTGTTATCTCTGTTATGATCTGTCATCTACTCTCTTTGGAAAACCAGCATCTCCAATGGCTGTTTACCTTCCACGACCCTGCGAGCCGCAGCCAGCAGTAAGGCCATCCCCACGTCCGCCGTGGGGTTGGACACGGCCTGTGGTGTGTTGGCTACCTTCACACCAAAGCGGGCGATGAGCTTCAGGTCCAGGTGATCGAGACCTACTCCTGCGCTGGCAATTATCTTCAAGGAGGGCAGGCTCCCCAGGAGCTCCTGGTCAATAGCTGGCCTTCCTCCCCAGATATATACAGCTTGGATCTTTGGGCCAAATTGCGTTTTATTTTCCAAAAATTCTTGCAAGGTAATGAGATTAAAGTGTTTCTGCAGATCTCCAACATGATCTTCACATATCCCATAAGATCCCTCCAATCCAGACACCAACACACCAGGTAAGTCCTGATCCCCCATGGCCTGCAGGAAGACAAGCACAGTCTCTGCAGTCAAATCGTCTTTAAAAGAACAATCAATACGCTCCTGTAGCTCCCTGCTACTCCGCCTGTGCTCTTTTAGGGTTCCGAGCACCCAATTTCCAACATGGGGGTTCCCCCACCCACAATTCCAAGCAGTTCTCAGGATACCACCTGAGTGTCCCAGTGTCCAAGAATTCAACTCAATTCTGACACTATCTACCCAAAGATAGCATCAGATCCCACGGGTTAAGGGCTGAGTCCTCTAAGACTGCCCACCCCACCTTCCGACACCAGTCACTGCCACCAGGCTGCTCCCTGTGCTTCTTTTTTCTACTTTTTTTTTTATTTTTTTTTTTT